TACGGCAAAAAAGTCTTTTAACTGGCAGCTGACTTCTGACTTCAAACTTCCATAACCCCACTGTATGTCATATTCGACCCCTTCCACAGTACTCATCTAGCCTTTTCTCTACCTTTGTGTCTGTCTGTCTGTCTATTAAATCTGTGAATCGCTCTTCTTTCCCCCTGTCGAATTTTTCTCCCTTTAATGTTCCTCCCTTCAGTGAAGCCCGAAGTCAACCAAAGGGCTAATGATAACTATCAAAATGCCTGCCATTTGAAATAAATAAATAAATGTTTCCCTCCTCTGTGAAGCCCGAAGTCAACTAAAGGGTTAATAATAACCATCCAAACGCCTGCCATTTGAAATAAATAAATACTACAGTTAAAATCTTACAGCCAGGTCCTCCAACCAACTCCTCCACCAACAAACTTGCACATGCACAATAAACAGTCGTCCACTTCATTGATATTAGTCAGTGTGCCTTTGAAGTATGATAAAGTTATTTAAGAATTCCATTATTGCAACCTAATGACCTCACGCTTTTCACCAACTTATATCGGAAAATGTGACGTTATGGATAATCAGATACCTTCCATCAGTTATTAATAAGGTACCTTACAATTGAAAGCCTAACTGATTAGCAAAGTCAGTAAAGAAGGAATTTGAGGCAACTTTTTTCATCATTTTACATTGCAGCAAAAATTAATATGTACACGGATATTTGAAATATTAATTACAAATACGTAAGAAGCCATGTTTTACTTTCAATGAAATAGCAGCCAAGTGATAAATAAAGATAATTTTTTCGTGAAAGAATAGAAAGTAAGGTGCTTATTTGCTGATTTCAATAGTTTTCAGTTAGCATCAAATGATTTTGAATGAATGTGCGCAATACCAATTCACTGAATGTGCGTTAAGGTGTTTCTTGAATTTGAGCGAAGAAATACGTTTTCAAAGAATCAGGGCTTTACTTAGGGCAACTTGAAAAAAACACGGAGGATTGGGAATAGACGGTTGGGGAAATTTGGATTCTGAAAATTTCAGCTCAACGTTGAAGGATCAACCTATTTTCTGTTTTCCCACTTCAGCGTTTCGTAAAGAAGCTTGTCTGAAATGTTAAATTGAAATTAAAATATTTTGTTTTAATATTTCGCGATATCTAGATTTAGATATTTTGAATGGCATACTGGATTAGTAATTAGCTTAACCTTAATGACCTTCAAATTCATTTAAATACGCTATAATTAAAAAAGAGCGTACTATCGAGTTTTAATAAGAAAAACCAACTGAATAGCATTTTACTTAAAGCAAGCTGAAAAGCATCAAGTGAATTATTAAAAATTTCTAGATTCCAAATTTTGGTTTAAAAATGGCGCTAAAACAATATCACTCGGATCACGCCTTCAATGACCTCCGTTGAGCTTTTCTTTGTTTAAAGCACCACGAAAGAGCGATTTTAGGAAAAATTGCCTTTGGTTTTCCTGAAGCCTACGGAATACTTAAGTCAAATTCGAGCGCAACTCTCTTATAGTACTAGATAATACTGTGGAATAAGTTTCGCCATGTAAATAGAACTTTCAGATGCACTAATGTTGATAGTTTGACTCGTTATGTTAAGCATCGACAGAGTAAAAAGCATTGAAGGAGATAACATTGGATAACAATTTAAAATGTCAGCAATGTAGTGATAAGGTGAAACATGAAAAGTAAGCTAGGTTACCAAAAATTTATATATATATATATTTATTTATATAAAATGGTGCCGTACATAGCCTTCCAAGTTCAGTAGTTCGGTACTTCATTTTCCATTATCCTAATTAGTTAGTGTAGAAGTCATGTTTACGATTGACAGGGCTCAATTGACTTTTGATTTATACTCATTCAACACCTTTTGACTTTTAATGACCAAGATATCAGCATAACCCTTAATAGAATAATTCTAACATGAAAGAAGTGACAACGTAGACAGTAATCAAATGGCACGTTAAACTGTAATCTCTTGCTAGTGCACTTGTAATTGTTTCGGAAAGAGAGCTTTGAAGTGGATAAGCAATCTATCTACTTAATGGATTTGAGGAGTTCTTTTAAATGCCTTTACCATTCGGAAAGGAAGTTTTAATTCATCAAATATAATGAAAAAAATTTAGTGGGGAAATTATTCGTATTTCGCAGTAAACGATTAGTACTACCCTGGGAGTGAAGTATTTTCAGCAAAATGATTAAATATGTTTGCAAAGTTATGATCTTTCTCCTTAAATCAAAAGCTATATATTTTATTGAAGGTATCTGTCTTCATTGATATCCGGAAAATTTTAATAAATCTAATGTGATTTTACTTTCAGCTAGGATGAATAGCACTGCCGTCATGTCCAATTGTCCCATAATTTAAAAAAATAGCATTCGAAATTTCTTTTTCTTTTCAATTGTTAACAATAATCACTTGAATATCTAAATTTATGAAAAGATACAGTGCTCAAATGCAAATATGGGTTGTTTTAATTAATATAAATAAAATGGCGGAAACTTACAACAATCCTGCTGAAAACTTTTTCAATGGGCTGTCCGTTTGGTGGGGAATGCCCTGTTCGTGATAGAACCTCATGTAAATATTAAATAAACTTATAAAAACAAGAATAAAACAAGTTACAACTACATGTGTGTGCGTGAGTGTATTGCCATCTATTCGCTAGAAATCAAAAGTTCATGATAATTGGAGGCTTACGGCAACTAGGTGATCCAGTAAGACGCTCAAATATTGGCGCTGAAGGTCGTCGACTGTTCTGACCCGACCCGAAAAGATTTGATGAAAAGGGACCCTCACAGATACCACCAGTAAGTAAGGAATTTGCAGAAGACGCAACTGAACAACCGTAACTATGACGTCTGGGATCAAGGAAATCACTTCCTGCGCCTGGTCGACCTCCAACGTTAAGGTATCCATAACGTTCCTTCTGTATTTAGATACAATTGCTTTACTAAAGATGCACGAAGATGCTTGAACGCACGAAAAGCTCGCACAGTTGTAAGTTGAATACTACTCCTTATTGACTGTTAGGAAAACAAATTTACGACAAACTGATGATGCATAAACTAACCCTAGCAAAACTTTAGTAAGCTTTTAGAGAACTTATAATTGTATTAATGTTTTTCCAATTTATTTTAATTTTGATTTAATATACTTAAGGCCAAAATTGATTTACTGTTGCTATCTTTAATTAACAATTTGGATATTAGACGTTTTAAGTTATTTTTTCATAAAAATTGTAGCCGAATTATTTTCGCTGAAGTTTATGTTTAAAACAGCTTGATTACTCCATAAATAAAATGCCCACATTTAAAAATGAGCCGTAAAGAAAGCTTGGTAATTCCAATTTCTTTCGAGCAAGACTTTTCGCACTTAATACAGGGTGTGCGATAGACTTACCTCCGCGTGGTGCTCCCTGGGCAACGTATACTCATAAGACAAAAAAGTCTATTAATCGGCAGTTGACTTCTGACTTCAAACTGCTCTGACCTAACTGTACGTCATATTCGACCCCTTCACAGTACTCATCATACCTTTTTCTATGCCTTTGTGAAGCCCGAAGTCAACTAAAGGACCAATGATAACTATCAAAACGCCTGCCGTTTGCTATAAATAAATGAATAAATATAATTTTAATGAGCATATAATAGTTTCCTCGATATTTACGTTAGTAAATCATTAAAATAATGATTTTGTGATTGATTAATTAATTAGTGCTGTAGTTTGCAAATCGTTTGCGGAATCTCATCCGCTCTATTACTGTATATTTATAGTTGTGGGTGGAGAGAAAACAAAGCCTTCTCAATATATACCACCTTTTTTCTGACCCTCTGATAGATCATTTACTTCAGATATGGAAAAGTATTGGTTTTCGAGCCATTTCTTTATTTTTGAACAAAGGGTTTACCTCGTTGCCTAATCACGACTTATAAGTTACCACCCTGTTCCAAGGTTCCTTTCAG